CAGGGCTGAGGTCACTGCAAGCTGAGTGCCAGACTGAGGGTAGTGTCAGTTAGGTTGTACAGCTTTCACCTCTCACTGTTCGGCTTGAGCACCTGTCAGGGTTTGTCTTTCCCAAAAAGGGCTTGAGGAGTCTTGTCACTCTCCTTGCCAGTACAGTAGGGCTCTGACAGAGTGCTTTCTTGGGGCTGAGGTCTTTTTGACTTCGCCCAGGGTCTGTGCAGGACTAGGTTGTGCATACCACTTAATTCGGTGCAGCTTTTCGGACAGGCCTCTGGCCGTGGACAAGCGCCACTGGAATGAAAATCCCATTTCCCAGGCCAACGTCATCGACTAAGGATAGTTAAAGCATCGATCTCCATGACAGGTTTGTTTGGCCATCAGGCGATTGGAGTTTCGCCGAAGCGCCGCAGATGGTATCGCACCATCACCGCCAAACACCTTGGACGTCAAAAATTGGGTTCCTTAGACTTAACCTTCAAAGTCATGGGGCACATTTGTGAAGATCCTTTTACTACCATCCTTAAGCAGCATGTCAAAGCTGTGGTTAGGGTTTTTCACAAATGGGCGGTCCATGATGTTGAGAAATTTCACAGTGCTTGGCGTTCCCAATGGCACAGGATCCACCAAACCAAAGACCCGTGGCGTCGGGTAGCTGGACCCCTTGCAGCCACACAAGCCTATCTTAGTGAGTTGAATGTGGATGCCTCTGATCCCTGCAGGTGGGTGCATGGAGCCACAGCGCTGCAACTGCAATGGGCTTCGCGTGATACATGCAGGCACATCCTGCAATGGCTGGGTAGACTCCAAACGACCCAGGTCAACGAGCGCATCTCTTGTTTGGAAGGCTGTCAGCTTCTTGTCCAAGGGGTAGACCTAACCGTCCCCAAAAAACTAATGAAGAAAAAGTTTTTCAACCAGAGTACCCTTGTAAGCCTTAAGGCGCTCTGGCAGGGTGCACTTATCAGCGAGGCCAAGCCTGGTTACTGCAGCAGATGCCAGTGCAAGCTTAGTTTACAGCATGTTTTGTGGGAGTGTCCAGCTGTACTTGCCAAATGTCCCACGCCTGACCATTTTGCCCAATACCGTCTAACATTTCCTTGGGAAAGTCTCTGGCTTCGGGGGCTTCCACCTTGGTCTCGGACTGCTTTGCCCGATCCGTCAGCTCATGTGAGTGAGCTCCGCATGGAAGGTTTGTGGCAGGACGGGGGCGTTCTAGAAGGCGAGAAATTTGTTTTCGCAACCGATGCCTCAGGGGGTCCAGGTAGTACTGATGATCGTTTGCGTTGCGTTTCTTGGGCCATTGCTGCGTATACCTTGTCGCCAGAGGGACCAAAGCGAGTAGCAAGCATTTCATGCCTTGATAAACATCTCACTGTGCCTCTTGCCGAGCAACGTGCACTCTTTGAGCTTTACAGCAGAGTTTCGGGCAACTTCGACGTTACCGTCGATTGTCTAAGTGTGGCTCAGCTGCTACAAAAGCATGCCCCGCCTCAGACAGGTCCCATCCCGTGGAATGATGTTTGGGCCCAAAGGCATCGATCACATGTGGTGTGGGTGCCTTCGCACAAAGACCAATCGCATTTCCAACAGCAAGGCCTTCCTGAATGGAGAAGGCTTATTAATAATGATGTCGATTCTATATGCCGAGGCAGATCGGCTGAGGCCTTTTCGTGTGATCATGCATCATGGCTTAAGCAAGCGGATGCTGTGTGCCGTGAAGTGTCCATGCATTTGGCTAAGACCGTCACTTTCATCCTTAAAAATCAGAAGTCGGGGTTGCTACCTTGGATCCTCAAGAGGCCTTCTTTGGAAAAGGAGCCCCCCAAACCCACTGCAGTCATTCCTAGTCCCGTCTTCCAAAAGCCTAAAGTTGATAAGCCTAATAAGCGGCAGCGAATGAAGGCATGCATCGAGGGCTTAGGTGACATGCTAGGTCATAAATGGGTCCTGGGGTCTGAGGGTTCTACCAACCTCACCATGCGATGTGACCATTGTGGTCTGTATGTCCAACAGACTCTGTCACAGAACCGATTCGATAGATTGATGAGCCATCCTTGTAAGGACCAACCTGGAGCGATGCCGACCGAGTGGCGCATCCATCCCAGTCATACTATGACTAATCTAGGGGTTTACTGGATGTGCACTAAGTGTGAAAAACTTCAGAGGCCGGTTTCGGAGGATGCTGTCAAAGCCTTAGTTGAACCGTGTAAAGGTACCACTAAAAAGTCTGGACACCATGCAAAACAAGCACATGTCCAGCAGCGAACTCTCACTTCAGGTCCAGTGGTTGGCCTTGACAAAACCAAAGCACGCGTTCCCTTTGGCACCAAAATCCGTGAGGCACCTGACGCTGTTGCTCCACATCAGCCGGAACCAGGTGCCCAGTCACATCAGACCGATGTTCCGGCCCCGCCGAAGCTGAAGCAATCGATGTTGATGTTTAAAAAGAAATGATAATACATGTTCAGCCGATGCCGGTGTGCGCTAGTTGCTGCACCCGTAAACTTTCAAATTCCTTTTATGACGGGTGGTTTTGGGTTTTGTCTGGGTTAGTGTTGGGGCTGTGACCTGTCGGCGTCTCTTTCCTGCCTGCTGTTGTGCGCAACAGAACTAGGCCAACAAGTTGATGCCATAAGTAATGCCCTAACCCTACCCTTGCTGGTGTGCGCTTGAATGCTGCACCCAAAAAATTGCATATCCAGTCATGCGTCTACCACCCGACTTCGGGCCTTCTGGGAGTGAAGCCGTTGGTCCTTGTGGGCCCGGGTTGGCTTCCCGGTTTCTTCTAGGCTAAGCTGTCAGACTGGCCTGTGTGCGTTTGGCTGCTGCCACCACACGGTGTGAACAGTCCCAACTTGCATGTTGTCGCAAATGCTGCAGCTTTAGTTGCCTTGTTGTGCTGGCTCCAGGGGGTCATTCCTGTGAGGTCCTGCTAACCTTTCTTGCTTATAATGCTCATGATCCCTCCGTGGTGTGGACACTTCGCATGTTCATACCACTGGGGGTTGTACAGTTCCGCGATGTACAGGCTGCTGGTAGTACTCGCTGTGTATAGGCGCTTGCTGCTGCCACGGTTCTAGGAAGAACCTCAAAGTTCTCTACTGTGAGACCCTCACTTGACTGCTCTGGGCATCTCCAGTCTGAACTTCTGTGGTGCCAGGTGCAGCTTCGATGTGCCTGCATGCCCGTTGATATTCGTGGCATGTCGAAACACTCACCTGTCTTGCCTACGCTTGGTCCAGAGTCACCGTCCGTGCAACAGCTTTGCCCCGCTACTTTCGAGTGACGGGGCGAGGCTTCCGTAGACAGGTAGTCTCTGTAGATCAGTGTAGCTGTAGTTAGTTTCTGGCCTTGGAGCTGCGACTTTTCTGCTCGCTCGGAAAGAAAATCCCATTTGCCTCCCGCACAGGTGGAGCACTCAGTCACTGCTGGAGTTGCCTCCTCAGCCCCGGCCCTCTCCGGTGGCTGAGGCCTGTCCCCCGACAGGTCCTAAGAGCCTTTCCTCGCCTTCGGCTGAGGTCGCTTCTCCTTCCCCGGCTCCTCCTCGGCAGCCGGATGTGGAGTCCGCCTCTTCGGCCCTAGCTCAGGCTCCGCGCCCAGGCCTTCCCCAACAGGGCACCCCTGCTTCCAAGGCCATCGGCCCTCTGGCAACTCCTGAGGTCAAGCCCTCGCCTTTGGCTGAGGTAGCAACCTCTGGTTCAGTGGGCCCCGAGCCCAAGGCTACCGCCCGGCCTCCCTCAGGCCCTCCTGGTACCTTGTCAAAGAAGGGTGAGCCTGCCCCACACACACCCAGTGGCCCGGGTAAAGGGGCCACAATCTCCACCGCTGCTTCGGCAGCTGCAACTCCAGACGTTGCCTCCACAGCTGGCAGTGGCCCCCTTGAGACCCTCGCCTCCTTGGCTGAGGTTTCGGGTCTCTCCACGGCCCCGCCGGACCCTGCAGAGCCAGAGCTCGCTGGCCTCGCAGCGGCCAGTCCTAGCTTCCCCAACCCCTCGGAATTCTCAGGTGACGAAGCGACGGACTCTCCAAGCTCGTCTCCTCGCCGGCCGGCTAGAGGTCCGGCTCCAGCTGAGGCTCGTCAAGAGCCGGCCCACGTGCAGGTCTTCAGCGAGAACTTCCTCCGCTGTTTTGCATGCGGCGTTACTACTTCCAATCAACAACTCATGGAAGCCCATGCAATGACCTCCAGGCACGTCCGCCTTACCACGGCCAAGCGAAGGCGCGAGCTGGCAGCTGCCCAGGCTGCCCAGCCTTCCGTGCCGTAGGCCCCGAGCCTTGGCACTCGTCTCCCCAGGCACACCTCAGGTTCCTTCCTCGCCTTTTGGCTGAGGTTCGACCCTCAGCGGTGCTTGGAGGGCCCCGGGCACTCCTTGGTCCTTTCCTCGCCTGTTCGGCTGAGGTCTGCTTCTGAGGCAGCCTGCCCGGGCTCCGGTAGAACCCCGCCTGTACAGACTTTGGTAGGGCCTACCCCTCGTCTGAAAACGACTGAGGTTGGCGGGTGTAACTAGCCACCTGTAGTCCAGGACGTAGGGCCGCCCTTGCCCAAAGTGGCTGAGGTTTCTCACCAGAATGCATGCTGAATTCATCTTCGGACACGTCTACGACGGCTTGCAGCTCGGCGACGAAAATCCCATTTGGCTCAAGTTGCCGTGAGTGCTCAAACTTGAGGTGCCGACGTGGCCAGCCTTGAGGCCTGCATTCTAGTGCTCTCGAACAGAACCCAAACCGTAACCTCGTAGAGGTCGTAGGCCGGATTAGCCGGCGAGGGCTGGGCGGGAGCCGTAGTTTGTCAGGCGCTCTTTGCGCTATCTGCTTGAACACCGCTGCAACTTGCAACCTTGAACCATCTTGCTTGCACAGATCGCTTGATTTTCTTGGAAAAGTTTTGTTTTGAGGGCCTTGCTTGCAAAAACGCCCTTTGTTGCCAACTTTCTTGCGTACAGTTTCCTTGAAGGAAGGCAGCAGGCGCGCAACGACTTGCGCGAGAGGTCAGTGCAGACATGTCGCGTGCTTATCACGTGTGCAAGAAATGCGGGCCTAGCAGTTGGATCTTTCAGGATCGTGTCGGGTCGAACCCGTTCTGCAAGAAGTGTGGATGCCAGTGGCCGAAGGCCACACAGCAGAAGCCGAATGCAGTTGCAGGAGGGGACTGGGCCAATCGTGCAGACCCGGCCCGTGTTTGGAAGACTAAGGGCCCCAAGGCTGGAAGGGATCGTGCGGAAGCTCCTGTCAGTACAGCGCAGAGGGCTCTTTCGACAGTATGGGACGCGTTGCCACCAGCGGCGCGTCAGGCCATCGAGCATGCAGGTTGGCAGCCCAAGCAGCCAGCTCCGCCGCCGGGGCTTGGGGGCTCAAACAGGGCTGTCCGCCTCGTGAAGGGCGGAGAAGGCAAAGGAAAAGGGGCCAATAAAGCGGCTGAGCATGAGGATCAGCCTGATGAATCGGTTAAGGCGCTTTTTGCGTCTGCCAGCGATCATCAGAAAGAGCTCCTCACGCAGTGCGGATTCTCAGAGCCGGAGGGGCCGCAGCCTGACTTGATTGAAATGTGTAAGAAGCACATGTCGGAGCTTCCTTCGGCCATCCGAGAGCTCGTGGAGGAGCCGCCTGAAAAACCGCTTTCTGCTTTCGAGCAGCTAAATGATACCAGCAAGAAATTCAAGACTGCGACCGTAGAGCTTCGAGAGCTTATTATGAAAAAGGCCGCTCTTCAACTAAAAATCAACAAACACAAAGAAGTCTACACGAGCATGCTCAATGACATGAAAACCCTGGACACCAATCTGTGCGGCAAACAGGACCAAGTCACCTTGCTGCAGCAGCAGTTGCAGAGTTCTGTTGTTGCAGAGGTCGCGGAATCCAGGCTTGACATTGAGAGTGCTCTGGTTAAAAGTGTTGATCACATGCCTCTGGAGCAGCTTGAAGCCTTTCGTGATCGTTTCTGTGGTATTATTGCTGAAAAAGTCTCCCTTAAGAAGCAATCGGAATTGCCAGATGCCCACATGCCAGATCAAGCATCGCAGGGTCCCCTGGGCCCTCCGGGAGGATCACCAGGCGACGAGCCTGCTGCCCGTCGTGAGGGCAAAGGTCGTTCCAGAAGCAGGGGCAGGGGAGGTACTGGACCACAGGCTGGAGGTCCGCCTGGGCCGACTGGTGCGCCGCATGCGGGTGCACAGGGCCAGCAGCAGTTGCAGACGTAGGGTTGGGGGATAGGGGTTCCTGGCTTTGGGTTTGCAGGGGATGGCTCTTTGCTATCCGGTCATAGCCGTCGCTCCCCTGTTGGCGAGCACAGCAGAGCAGCATCTCATGTTTTTACTTGCAGCCAAACCCCCAAATCCCGACCCCACCTGTGCAGTGCACTGAACGAGCAATCGGATGAAACCGTTGCCTTGGACAGAGCGGTGAGAGATTTTGGTTTAGAGTGTTTTGCAGCAGAGGTGCCGGTTCCTCAGAGTGCCAATTCGGACCAGTCTGTTTCTTCGGGCATTTTGCAACACGGTAGTGTGTCAGGGAGCCTCGAGGTTTTGGCAGCGTCGCAGGTTTTCTCAGCTCACATTTCTTGTGCTCTTTGTGCATCTATTTTGCCAGTCGCAACACATGTTTGCCACCGGCAGCTGCTTGACTTTGCGAGTGAATTTTGCGCGTTCTGTGCGGCCCAGGCGCCGTCTGCGCTCCATCTCCGGCCTATGGCTGCGTCGGCTACAAACTGTGCTGGCCAAAGGCAATCTTTCCCCAGAGAGAGTTGTGGTGTCCTCCTTGAGCCCTCGTTTGCACTTGCTGGTTTCCTTAGGCTTTCGGGCTTGGAGCTGGGTCTGGTAAACAGTAGCTTGCAGCAGACATGTCAGGACTTGTGTTGTGCCAGCTGCCAAATGCCGTTGTCGGAGCCGGTTTCAGGCTTGAAGCCTAATCTTTTGCCAGTGTGCCAAAGTTGCCTGCCCAACCAAGGTGAGCAATTTAGGCTCCTCAGGTGCTGTCTTCTTGATCCGTATGTGCTGTCAGGCCCACCTGTGCACCGAGTTTTTGCATTCCGAGTCCCGGGGCCTGAATTTACCAAATATTGCCGCAGGCTCCTTCTAGATCCCTATGTGCCTTCGGGTCAACCTGTGCACAGGATCTTCGAACTTGCGGGCATGTATTCCCTCCCGAACCAGTGTGTATCCCCTCTTGAGGGCCCTTACCCCAATTTGCTGGTTGTGAGCAGTTCTTCAGCTGAGCATGGGACGGCTGGTGCAAACTCGAGCATGACTCCAACCATTGCCTCTAAGTGTGACGCTTCTCAGGCCGAGCTGGGGTGCGACATTTCAGGTTTTCAGCTGGGTGTGTGCAGCAGCTGTGGTGACCACCCGACCTTAGCATCTTTGTCGGATCCAGAGGCAGTCAGCTTTGTTCAAGCCTGCAGGCATGCTTACTATGCGAAGCCGCGTGAAGAGTTGGCTCAGGTGCTACAAGTCTGTACTGAGTTGTGCGCCACATGTCTGTGTAAATGGTCGAGGGCATGCCACACTTCGAGTTCTTCTGCCAACAGTTTTGAAAACTCCCTGACAGGCCCCTTGTTTTTCCCTGCAGAGGCGTTTGATTCCGAGGATTGGGTTGAGGCTGCCGGATCCGCTTCGGTTTGGAGTGACCCCGCCCCGCAATCATCAGGTCCGGGCCACAATTTCTCATTTCCTCGCCCTAACCCGCGTGCCTCCCGTGTGCTGGACCCTAACCCCAATTTCTGTGGTGCGACTCACCTTGGGGATGAGCCTCAGGTCAAGTCCAGGCGCACTCGCAGGCGCATCAACCGAGCCAAACGTCGTGAGGCTTGCAATGTCTCCGCCTCCGATTGTCATCTGAGTTCGAAGCCTGGCTCCGGTTTTTCATTTTCAATCCCGACCCCGTGTGCATCCCAGGTCTTGGGCCCTAACCCCAATTTCTGTGCCTCTTTTGGCCTTGATACTCTTTGTGGCAATCACTCCGACACGGCCGGAGTTTCTGTGACATCCAGTTCTACTTCGATGCAGGATGTGCGCCCTGCTGGCAGCACTCGGAAAACCTACCAGTCGGCTTTGCAGTCCTCCTTAAATGGCCCTTTTGACCCTACTGTAGACCCTCCTGAACCCCTTTTCCCCGCCCTGTGTGTGGCAGGGTCTACAGTCATAAATCACGTTTTGGGGCATCCCAGGCACCCTTGTTTGATGTCCGAGGAGCGCCTCCCTGACACTGCTGCATCTGTCTGTGGGTCTTGGACATCCATCCCTTCTTCGATGCAGGATGTGCGCACTGCTGGCAGCACTCCTCTACAACCATCACATGTGTCGCTGCAGCATCCGGACTTCTCTGCGGATCCAACTGGGCGGGACTCCCATCAGGTGTCTAGTAAAGCTTTGGTGTCTGATGCCCCAGCCCTGCAACACAAACCAGATGATCCTAAAGTTGATTGGAGCCTCGTTGGAAGCTTGCTTGAGTCAGGTGCCATGTCGGGTTTTGCCAGTGTTGAACGCCAGCTTCTTGCCACCGTTGAGGTCATTGAGGATACATTTGATGAGGCCTCCTTGGAATGGTGGGCGGGCCACCGCATTTGTGAATGCCTGGCTGAAGAGGCTGATGCTGCGTGGCCTATCGCAGCTTCCAAACAACTCGCGCAAGCCCAAACTAAGGTGCAGCCCAAGCCTTTGAGGCTGTGTTCACTTAACATCACCACCTGGGGCCCAAAGTTTAAAGGTTGGATTGCGGGTCTTTCCTCAAAGCCTGCCCTACTTTGTGTTCAGGAAACCCACCTCCTACAGGACGTCCCTAAATCAAAAACGTGGCTTTCGGCACGGGGCCTGTCCAGCCACTTTGGGGCCGGCAGCAAAGGAAAGCAACAAGGAGTCCGCGGAGGGCTGGTCACCATCTCGGCATCTCACTTTAATGTCTTCCAGTCTTTTGAGTTTTTAGCTGAAGGCTGTGGTTTTCTAGTTGACCATTTTCGCTTGAAAGGGTGGACTTTGGCTGTCATCAACCTCTACTTGCAAACTGGATGCTCTCTGCAAGCCGAACCCAACTGTACCATCGTCGCCACCTTGCTAGCCACGGTTCGGAGTCTTGCTGTGCCGTGGATTGTTATGGGTGACTTTAACTTGCCGATTGAGGAAATGCAAGCCACGTCCATCCCCACTGAGGCACGCGGCTTGTTGTTATCCCCGGGCGGACCAACGACTGACCATGGTGCCTGCCTTGATTATGCCTTGATTTGCCATTCCTTATCCGGGTGTTTTAAGCCGAGCCTAGACTGGGCAGCGCCTTTTCGCCCTCATGCTCTTGTTGAATTTTCGCTGGTAGCTGATTGCACCACTGCTGTTCCGCAACTGCCCCGCTTCAGACAGCTTGAAGGTGCAAAACAACCTTTCAACCAGTCTGCCTCCCGCTGTCAGGTCATGTGGGAGGGCAGCCAGCACATTTCTGATATCACTAGTGTTTTTGCGAGCTGGTCCGGAGATGCGGCCGCGTCTTGTGGGGTTTTCGATAATTTTCCTGGCAGTTCATTTGTGATTCAGGCCAAGCCGCTGGTGACTCCGTCTGCCCCACACCGATTGTGGAAGGGACATGCCGAATCCTTCTGGGACCGCATCGTTGCGTGGTCCAAAAATTTTCGAGCCTTCCGGAGCAATCCTTCAAAACAACCGGAGGCTTTCTTAGCTCAGGCTGACACCCATTGGGCTGATGTTGGCAACCTGCCCTTTAACCAATGGCAGGCCCAAGCCCTTGACGTGCTCAACGGTTGTGAGCCGGATACCGCTTGGGTTGAAGCCACGTCCCGCCAGCAGCGCCATGCTCGGAAGTTGCATCTTTCGAACCAAAGTGCGGATTATCAGTCTTGGCTTCAGTCTTCCATGAAAGCTGGAATGCGGCCCCTCTTCAGAGCACTCAGCAATCCAGAAGCCAAAGTCGAAAGGCCTTTTCTTGATTGTCCGTTGGAATTTCGGCCTTTCCTTAGGCTGGAGTTCTGGAGCAAATTGTGGAAGGCGCAACCGTCGCCTCTACCGGAGCTCGACTCTCAGCTTCAGCAAGTAGCCCGGGAGCACGCGGCACAGCTACCACCCTTGAGCCTTGAGCAAATCAAGCAAAGGATACGCAAGCTCAGCAACAAAGCTGGGGGAGCCGATGGTTGGAGCTACGCACAGTTCAAAGTTCTGCCGGATGAGGCGCTAGAAGCTTTACTAAAAATTTTCCATCGCATAGAGTGTGATGGGATTTTGCCGGAGCACTGGCTGACAACCTTGATAACCATGTTGCCTAAAAATCTCCTAGTCGAGAGGCCTATTGCTTTGTGCAGTTCGTCGTACCGATTGTGGGCGAAACTGAGATTTTCTGAAGTTGATCGATGGCTTGCTTCATTCATTCATAAAGCCCGTTGGGAGCATGCTGTACCGGGCCAAAGCACACTTGATGTCAGCATCAGGCGTCTGCTGCAAGCAGAACTCGCTAGGGCCAGGAAGCTAAGTCGAATAGTTCTTTTCATTGATATTCAAACATTCTATGAATCAGTATCACATGAACTGGTTGCCCAGCAGGCCCTGCTGCATAACTTTCCGCCACTGTGTGCCGACACTGCCTTGAAAGTTTACAGAGGGGCCAGATACATCATTTCGGATAGTGTTGTTTCGCCCAGATGCTTCGGGGCATCCGGCCTCATGGCCGGATGCCCCTATGCGCCAGCAATTGCCAAACTGGCACTGTTCCCGAGCCTTTCTTCATTGCACAAGTCCAAACTTGCTGACAACATCACGGCTTGGTTGGATGATGTCAGTGTAGATACTGAAGGCGCTCAAGCAGAGAAGACGGCACATCGGGCTGTTCAATCATACCGCTTGTTGAAGCATGCCTTGCAGCAGGATGGACTCCACATGTCCATCGCAAAAACGTGTTTTGTCTGCACGGATTCACCATCCGAAAAATCTTTAAAAAAGCGTTTAGGCCCTGACGACCCGCCTATCAAATCCCTAGCGCGCGACTTAGGAACGGATTACTCTGCAGCACGTCGTCGCAGGATTACAGTTGCAAAGGCTCGTCATGCAAAGGGCCAGGCCAGAGCAGGGCGTATGCGATCGCTCAAAGTTCCCTCCTTGTCCCACAAGTGGAGACTGTACAAAGGAGGCATTTTCGCCTCTGCTGCTTGGGGTCATCAGGCTCAGGGTATTTCTCCGAAGCGTTTGAAGTGGCTGCGAGGGTGTGCTGC